TCTCTTAATATAAGTGGTCCTGTGTTGCATTGCATATCTTCCCGCCTTGCATGGATAATTGTATAGTGTCTGCTTGTTCGTTTCCATATAGTTTTTCTATGTAATCTTTCCACGTCTTTAGTTTTTCCTCTTCATCACTTATAACTTTTCCATCACTGTTATTTAAAAACTTTGACCTATTTCTATGTTCACTGAAAAATCTTTTTATTATCTTGTATGCCTTATCGCCCATACCTTTGGAAAAGTAGTCGTCTACTGAAGAGCATTTATCATTCAGCCATTCTTCTTTCGCTTTCTTTGACTCTCTTATTTCAACTATAGCGTTTTGTTATTCAACTAAAGACAATAAATTATCAAATAATTATGATGCGTTTTATTCTATTATTTAAATTAATTTTCATTAGACCAATAAATATATAGTAAAACTCTAATGATTATAAATTTACAAGACGGTTGGTTTGGTCGGATGAGGTGTTAGACTCTTCCAAAACATTGTGTGATTGATACGGCTACCAATATTAAATTTGAGCACTTTTGTTAAGTCAATTATGTTCAATAATTCTATCTCAATAGACATGAGCATAAAATTTTCCAAAAAGTCTTGTGATACGGTGCTCTTTAAATATTATTTTATGTATTTTAATTTTAAAAATCCACGTTCACAGCTTACTTGAGTGACTGACAGAGTAAGTAGTAATTTGTAGCAGTCGTAGAGACCAGGATAAGCGTTGCTGTATAAATTATACTTCACTAAAAAATTAAAAACACATACCACACAGTACTTATCAACAGCTGTAATATGGGAACATTTTTCTTCATTATCTCCATCAGATTTGTTATCGGAGTTATATTCAGTGTAGTCAAAATTTGTATTTCGTATCGGGATAGAAATCGGGCTTTTTATAGCATCGTAGAACACAGAAATATAATGAGCTAATACAAAGCTCTTCACCCTTATCTGTAAAAGTTTAAGGGAAATATACATTATATATAAATTTAATTAAATTCCAAGCAAAAATAATGAATGGGTAATAAATTTATATTACGAAGGTTGACACATGATTAGTTATTGGTTGTCTATATTATAGGCTTCACCAAAAACATGTCAAAATAATTATTTATTAAATTAAATATTTTATCTGTATTGTGACTTGTTATGATGCCGGGGTAATTATCATGGAACCAAATTCGGACTAGCCAATTATTGCATTTATTTAATAAAGAAAAAACGTGCACAATAACATTTGACATACACTTTAGGGAACCCCAAAGCGATAACCTTTAAAACCTACCCCTTTGAAATTATTAGTAATACAATTANTATTTGTTTGTTACGGGATAATAGATACGAGACAAATTTTAAATAGTATTTCCAGTATCTTCACGATTAAATTCATGTTAAACAGTGAAAACATGTTATGAAATAGATACCTATCAAATTATTTTTCGTTGAGTATATATACAAGAGATTCAAAAAGTGTTCTAAAAGTGTTCTGTTTTACATATTCAGGATCTTTATTTTTTAAACAATTATAAAAATCATTAAAACATAACTCATTTTTAACTATGGGTTTTTTCACACTTTTGTTTTTTTAATTTCGTTTTTATTTTCAAATACTTTAAATGTTTATAATTTAGATATTAATCCAACAAATTCAGTCATTATTTGACCATTAAGTTCAACTTTAAATTTACCTGGAACTTTCTTATTTATTCAGGGTATTCCATATTGATTATTTTCAGGATAATCTGAAAAATTAAATTCATTAAAAAGTTGTAATTTATACTATTAAAGAATCTGTATCTGTGTATAATAGTCTAATATTTTTTCCATACATTTTTTTCTATACGTTATAATAAATATCATACATTCGAGATTTAGATAGATCTAAAATACACATTCCTAAATAAATTGGTTGTTTCAATTCAACCAAAGCTTTTTACATATATGCAGCTACTATTATTCTGTAAAAATAGTTGCTAGATCAAAATTTGGTTTAGCAATCCACTTTTCCAATATTTCCCATCATTAATTAATTTTGTATCTTTATGGTTTCTTGTATTCATCATAGTCCTACCAAATACACTGTTGTTCATTAACTTATAATAATCTTTTTCAAATTCATTATCTGTTTTTGCACGAAGATTTGTGTTAAATTCTACATATGGTTTCAACCAATCTTTTTGATTAAATTATATTACCTCAGGTATTATCTCTAATTTTAAACATAAACTTAAATACACTCTAAGATTAATTTAATGTAGAATATATTTTTTCTTATCATATAGGGTTGTTGTTAATTTTGGTAATTTTCCCATATTTGTTTAATATAATGATCTGGCTGTTTAAAAAAGAGCTAAGCTCAAAGAGTGTATTTTTGTATGCCCAGAAATAAGAACATTATGTATGGACAATGACTTTCTAAATTTGAAACAACTATTGAAAAAAATGCTTGGATTTCATTTAAGGGAGTAATTAATAATTTTTTAGAAATTACTAAAAGTGAAAATTACGAAATATTTTTCGCTTGAGTTGTAGTCTTTAGACAGTTAAAATTGTTTATAAAATTCAATAGCTTTTAGAAATTATCAGAGTAAAAGTATTCTTAATTATGAATTTCCATAGATGAACTGAAGAAGTCACGAAAATCGATTTTTTTTTAGAATATTTACAATTGGATTTTAAGTTTATTACCATCTAAAAAACGATATGCTTCAACAGTTTTATTAAAATTGGTTTTTTAAGCCGTTGGCATTCCACAAAAAGATAAGTAGGGACTGGGAAGTGAATTAATTATTTAACATTGTTAGATTATAGGCGATCGAGGACTGTAGTGAGGAGGGCTATTAGCGGATTTATAATAGATTGAAAATTTTTAATAAATGTCGTAAGATCGTTTTTCATATTTTGTATCGATGGGGTAGACTTTTGACCAGATGTTGCCTGAGCATATGACGGGTCTAGGGTTGTGTTGGTGGTTTGTGTTGGCCGCTGGGAACTTTCACAGTTATTAAATTTAGGGCTAACATTGTTTGTTTTGTTAACATTATTTCGATTGGTGGAGAAATTCCGGTGATTTTGAAGCTCCGTGTATGTTTTGCAACCTTTGTAGTTAGCCGGATGGATTTCGTTGCAGAGTGCGCAATTAGCAGGGGTTTCATAGATTTTTTACACGCTGAAGATGGATGGTTTTTTCCATAACGGACACATCTTGGGGAGAGTGCACAGTATTTTTTCGAGTGGCCGTATTCCTGACAGTTGTGGCATTGCATTATATCTTTACGTTGATGGGGTTCTTCCACTTTTATTTTAGTATGAAGTAGGGACGTTAAACTAAATATATCTTTGTTTTTTATAGCTGGTTCCAGATCAACAAAAACATCGGAAGCTGCTTTTTGTTACCTTTTGGAGAACATTTACTATTCGACGTACAGTAAAGCCTAAATCTTCAATGGCTATGCCGACATCAGTAGTTGGTGTTGATGGGTGTAGGTTTCTAATGACTATGCGAAAAGCTTTATCTTCTTGTAGTTGGAAGGAGTGGAATTGGGCTTTCTCCTCTCTTAAGAAGTGAATAGTTTTCCTGTAGGAATCTGGATTGGTTGTTTGCACTTTTAGTGCGTTTGTAGAAGACTTGAACAAGAAGTTTTCTGGGCTGATTAAAGAGATCGATTGTTGCCTAAAGCTAACAAAATCTAACACTTCACGGATAAATATAGGAGGAGGTAATTTCATTTTAATTTCGTTGTTCATTTCAGGAGTTTGGGAGTTAATTCCGAAGTTAGATTGTGTATGTAAGGATGTATGACCTGTAGCGTCATCGTCAATATTAAGTGAAGAATATCGGTTGGCTGTTGCGAACATTGGCTTACATTTCTTGTGATCTGCTGGAGTTCCAGAAGACAGGATACGTTTTGTTATTTTGGGTTGAATGAATTCAGATTCCTCTATTTCAGTTGATGAGTTGAACACATCCTTTAACGCGCTCTGTATACGC